AATTATTTCTAACCGAATAATATTCTCTTTATTTATTTCGTCAATCCACTGCCAAACTTATTTAACTTCTAATAGCGTTAATAAGTGAATTCCTTTTTCAAGAGATGAGGTATTATTTTTTTTTATTTTTTCATTATTACAAATTTTTTTCTAAATATTAAAGCAGAGAATCGATTATAAAATTTTATTTCTTTCACTGTCATTTCAACTTTCATTATCACTTTGACAGATTCTTTTTATTTTTACATTTATTTCTAATTTTAAATTGAAAATAAAAATCTTATAAAGTAAAAGTGAAAATAAAAAGTGAACAGAACAATCTATGAAAGTGGAAATTAAAGTGAACATAAAAATTTATTAAAGTATAAATTAAAGTGAAAATAAAAAAATTATCAAAGTGAAAATGAAAGTGAAACTCCAAATCGAAAAAATTTAATTTTCAATTTAATTTTCTTTTTCACTTCAATAGATTTTTATTCTTTATTTCATTTTTACTTTGATTGATTTTTATTTTCATTTTTACTTTGGTAGATTTTCATATTCACTTTCATTTTCACATAGATAGAATTTTATTTTCACTTTAATAGATTTTTACTTTTATTTTCACTTTCACTTTCACTTTGGCAGTTTTTTACATTCACTTTCATAGATTTTATAAAAAATTTTGAAGTGAAAATAAAAATTAATCAGAATAAGAATGAAAATAAAAACATCTATATGTAAGTGAAAATAAAAGTAAATATAAAGATCTATCAAAATGAAAATAAAAATAGAAATAGAAATTTTTTTAAAACAAAAATAAGAGTAAAAATATTAAAGTAAAAATGAAAATAAAAATCAATCAAAATAAAAATGAAGGTGGAAATAATCTATGTAAGTGAAAGTGAAAGTAAATATAAAAATCTATCAAAATAAAAATGTAATTGGAAATAAAAAATAAAAAGTAAACTAAAAATGAATAAAATTAAAAAAATAAAATAAAAGAAATAAAAATAAAATAAAAATAAAATAAAAAAACTACAGTTTCAAACCAAAAAAATAAAATCGATTTGGCCAATTTGAACTAAAAAGAAAACTGATTAAGACTCACTCTCTCTTTTTCTCCATAACGACAGTGATCAAATCTAAAAATACATCAGTCAGAGGTCTTCAGTCGAAGAAGTAAAAAAAAGGAAGAAGAAGAAGAAAAAAAAGTAATTCCTGTCGGACGAGACACAAGAGGTGACATCAAAGACGGATTAATGCTCTTCATATAAATCACTTGAAATTACCTAGTTTTCAAGATTCATTCCTTCGCTTGATCCCTTTTTCCAAAGTATTTTGGTTTGGAAACTTGAAAGAGATGAGGGTTTTCCTGGCAGCAGCAGCAGAAGCAGCAGTGGCACATGGAGGAGAAGGAAAAAAAATACCCGAAGGATCAACCCGAGCGAAATATCCTAACATTTCACTGGTACGGATTTACGATTTCACAAGGGGATCGGACGTGTTGCTCCTCCTTTTCGTTATTTTCTCATTCTTCCCAAAAGAAAAATCCTTTCTCATGTAACCAGAACGAATGCGAAAGCGACGGAATACAAAACGAATTTATGGTCTAGTCAAACGCGAAATTTTATTGCGCAACAAAAAAAGAGCAAAAAAAAAATTGGAGGAAAAAAGGTTAGGCAGTCGATAAAAATATTTTTATTCGGTAATTTTCGTTTAAATTTAGATGAGAGTGGAAAATAATTAAAAGAAATTAAATTATATTAAAAAAAAAATTCGTCTTTAATTTCTGCTTGTCTTTTATTTTCACTTTCATTTCGATAGATTTTTAATTTTACCCTAACCGAATTTTTGTTTTCACTTTCTCTTTCACTGCAACTGTGACCGATTTTTATTTTTACAACTAGTTTTTACATTTATTATAACAAATAATTATTTTCAGTTTCATTTTCACTTTCCCTTCGATGAATTTTATAAAAACTTATGAAGGTGGAAACAAAAGTTTATCAAATTGAAAATGAAAGTAAAAATAAAAATCTATCAAAGTAAAAATGAAAGTGAATCTTTCATGAAAGTAAAACTTTTATTTTTACTTTAATAGATTTTTATTTTTACTTTCGTTTTTTGTCAATATCTATTTTTTATTTTATTTTCACTGCAATAGATTTTTACTTTCACTTTCATTTTTATTTTCCTTTTCATTTTCACTTTCATTGATTTCTATTTTTCTCTTAATTTTCAATTAATAAAATTTTTACTTTCACTTTAATAGATTTTATAAAAGCTTATGAAAGTGAAAATAAAAATTTACCAGAGTGAAAATGAAACTGTAAATAAAAATCTATCGAAGTGAAAATGAAAGTAAAAGTAAAAATCTATGAAAGTGAAAATGAAAGGGATTATAAAAATCAATCAAAATAAAAATTATAATAGAAGTCTATTGAATCAAAAATAATAATAAAAATTTCAAAGCAAAATGAAAATAAAAATTTCAAAGTAAAAATGAAAACAGAAATATATTAAAGAAGAAATGAAAATAAAATTCTACCAAAGTAAAAGTGAAATTAAAAATAAAAATTCCTTAAAGTGAAAATGAAAATACTAACAAAAGGAAAGTGAAAATGAAAAACTCTCAAAATGAAAGTGAAAGTGAAAAATAAAAGTCAAACTAAAAACGAAATTACATAAACGACCTGAAGGAAAACCGAAAAAACCACGAAATAAAAAATTTTTACTCCATAAAATTTTTTTTCCTTTTTTCCCCCATTTTTTAATAATAAGATACAAGTTCACTTCAAGTGCGTAAAGGTGAGTTCATTTTACGTCGACTTTATGATAACTTGAAATCTGCAATTTTGAGATGCTGCTCCATAATAAAAGCCCCACACAACAAGTTCTCGTAAAATAATTTCCACGTAGGCGCACTTTAAACGTATCCGCAAAATGTGAAAATATAACTTTTATAAAACACATGATATATCTAAAGAAACTCCGTGACGAGATGAATACCTTGGTTTTGTTTCACGTATTTTTTTTCTAAAAAAAAAAAAATAAATAAAAATAAACTCTCACAAATAAAACATGTTTCATCTCATTACTCGTCTGCGACATGAGACTTCATTTTTCTCTATTCGAAGAAATACATTTTTCAATTTTTCCCTTTCTGACATTTCGATAATAATTCCTTGCAATAAGTTCGATTTGTCGTCACAATTTTTCTTCCTTAATAAAAAATTTTTCTAATGCACTTCCCACAATATTGTAAATTTACTTGGCAGAAAGTATTTTTTGAGCGATCTCTTATTAATATAAAATATTAATAAAAAAAATTGGGAATAATAATAAAAAATAATTAATAAATAATAATAAATAATAAATAAAATATTAAAATAAAAATAAACAAACAAAATTAAAAATAAATAAATACAAACAGGTATAGAATATTATTACTGTACAATATATTATTACATATTAATTATTATTGTTATTATTATTATTATTATTAGTTATTATTGATATTAATTAATAATAAAAAAATAAAAATTATTAACAACATTTTTAATAATTCTAAATAAAAAATCTGTAATAAAAACACAGTTTTCTCCCCAAAATACAATAGCAATGTAAAAAAAAAAATTTGTATTCTGTACTAAACACAATTTTTCAAATAAAAAAAATTCAACTACGCAGTCAACGTTTAAAAATTCATAACTGACGATATGAAAAGACAATAAATTGTTTATTAGCTCTATATAATTCAGAGACGGACAACAAATAGTATAAAAGCTTATGTGTACACTGAAGAACGTAAATTTTTAATTAAAAAATAGAATTGAATTTTTCATTCGATTCAATGGATACCACGATTTTTTTAAAATATATAATATAATCACTTTTTAAATAGTCAATTTATTTATTTATTTTTTTTTTTTTAAAAGATGTAATTTTAATTTATAATTTTTTTTGCTTAAAATATTTATATTACACTCAGAAAAAATGTTGTTTGGAACAACCGAATGAAATATCAAGTAAATAATAAATTATAATCAAATAAAGCATTACAAATTATTGTGTAGTTGATTAAACAATTCCTTGAGTCAACTAAAAATTTACTTCAGATCACAAAATTCTTTCTTAGAACGGAATATTTTTTAAACCGAACCAAATGTTTTCTATTAAATTGAATACAAACAAAAGTTAATTTTAAATTAACTTTTAAGTTTAATTAAAATTAAATAAATAATATAAAAATAAATTTAAAAAAAGTTTATTTCGAAAATAACATAAAAATAAGGTTTATATAAAAAAATTCGTATCTTTTATATATAAACAATATTTTTATGTTATTTTGAGTCTCTATTTGAGTCGAAAATAATTTTTTCCTGAGTGTAAATAAAGAATGATTTATTTCCCAAAAAAAATTTCTTTGATGTTAAGATAAAAAAAAAAATTGTTTCCACTTAATTTCACTCAAAAAAAATTTATTTTATTTAAATAACCGATTACTTGTCTATTACCAAATAAATATTTACTTGAACCAAATGATTTTTATTTAAGTCAATTAAATTGTATTTCTAACCAAATTTACAGTATTTGAAGCAAATATGAATTGAACCATTTAATTGATTTAAATAAAAATTATTTGATTCAAGTAAATATTTATTTAGTTCGAGTAAACATTTATTTAATTCAAGGAAATATTTCTTTGGTTCCAGTAAATATTTATTTGGTTCGAGGAAATATTTATTTAATTCAAGAAAATATTTATTTGGTCCGAGGAAATATTTATTTAATTCAAGTAAATATTTATTTAATTCAAGTAAATAATTATTTAGTTCAAGGAAATATTTATTTAGTTCAAGTAAATATTTTTCTAGTTTAAGTAAATATTTATTTGATAATAGAAAAGTAGTCGTTTATTTGAATAAAATAAATTTCTTTTCAGTTTATTAATATGAAGAGAATGGAATTCTTAGGAAAATTCAATAATAAATGGAATTATTAATTTATTCTTACAGATATGCTTTGGATTATTTGCGGCTGTATTCTAATGACAACGACGGTCCTTTCGTGCCGACAGAGTGAATTTCAATGTGGGAATGGTGTGTGTGTCACTTTAAACAAAGTCTGCAACTTAGTGGATGATTGTGGTGATGGAACAGACGAGCCACGACAATGCACACGTGAGTGAACCTTCCTTTTTATTTCTCTCTCTCTCTCTCTCTCTCTTTTCCTCTCTCGCTTTTTACTTTTTACAATTCTTCACTTTCCCCAATAAAATTTTTCAAATAACTTGTTTTTTTCTCCAACTTTTTACATTTCTCATTATCTGAGAAACTATTTTTAATAAATATCTGGAATTTATTTATTTATCTATTTCCATGTAAAATGATTATTTAAAAAAAATTTTAATTCGTTTATTTATTTATTTGATTTATTTTTTTATTTACTTAATATTTATTTATTTGTTTATCTATCTACATATGTAAACGAACTATTATTAAATTTATGTTTTATTTCATTTATATATTTATGATTTTTTTATTTTGCAAAATTAAAAGGAGAAGGTAAAAAAAACTTAAAAAAAAAAAAAAAAAAAAAGTTTTAAAAACTGAAGGTAAAAAGGTGTCATTGCATGAGAGAGTATCATTGCTCTATTTTTTTGTTTACCTCATTTTTTGTTAATTCATGATAGAAAATATTTAGCAGGGGAAAATATTTTCACAACGAAAGAGTAAATATTGGAGTAAAACGATAATTATTTATAAATTATTGAAAAGCTATCCGTGTCTATATGAATATAATTATATGGGTAAACCAATGTCATTAGAGGCATGTGGTTACAAACAAATTATCTGAAATGCCATTTTCATCTATAAAATTATTCAGATTACATGCCTGAATGATATTGCGTATCAGTTTAGTGGCTGTACCATATGCTTAGTTAGTTTTGTCTATCACATACACGGACGACAAGAGAAAATTTCGAAAATTAATAATCGTCGATTATAATTGAAGTCGAAAAATTATTATCGCAATAATGAACGAGAGATAATTATTCGCAATATTAAAATTATTCACTGGAATAATAATTTCAAAAAAAAAAAATGTGAATATAATGTCAAAATGTGAAGATTGGAAATTTACAAATTAAAACTGAGTTACCGTACAAATTTTGTCACATGAGTAATTTTGTTAATCTACATTTTCATTCGAAATCCCCATTTCAGAAAAACTCAAGTTTTAATTTTCGTATTTAAAAGAGAAATCTTGAAAGACATTTTGACTTCGGAATTTATTTTATTAACCACTATTCTTTTACTTTAATTTTCATTCTAAATCGACTACAAAAAAAATTTTTATTTGGTTCTAACAAATTTGAATTGGTTTGAAAAAAAAGTTTATTTGCTTCAAACAAATTTTATTTGGTTTGAAACAAACTTTACTTGCATCAAATAAATTTTATTTGGTTCAAAAAATATTGATTTGCTTACAAAAAATTATATTTAGTTTGAAACAAATTTTATTTGATTCACATAAATTTCATTTGGCTCCAAGAAATTTTAATTGGTTCAAATAAATTAGTATCATTACATTTTAATAAAATTGAATTAATCAAATTTTCAATTATAATTATGAACAAACAAGATTATTTTAAAAAATTGAAAAAATTCTTTGTTTAATTCAATAAAATAAAATAAATTAAATTAAAATAAATTTAAAAGACAAATTTATTCTTTACATCTCTGATTAAAACATTGTTTTACTACTGAATTTTAATTTTTCGAAAATAATTAATAGATAATTAAAATTGATTAACGATTAAATATTGCTACTACTTTGTCTGACTAAAAATATCTTCTACTACTCATTTGGAAAACAGATTTTCAAAATTGAAAATAATTAAACTTTCTCATATGGGGAAAATTGAATTTCGCAAAAATTGTTATTTGATACCTAAATTAAAAATAATCTTCATTACGAGAATTTTAATTATTCTGAAGAATAGAGAAGGTAAAAAAATTATTATATATTCAACTTTCTGTACAAAGAATATAAATAATATTTTTTTAGAGAATTTCCACTACCTACTTTTAATTAGCTAATTTTCAAAAAAATTTCGAAAAAATAAATTATTTAACAAAATTTTATGCAATTTATTTTGCAGAATAATTTAATTACTTTCACTAATAATAAAATTTGTCATGAAAATTTAATTTAAAAAAAAAATTTTTATAAAATTCTAAGCATGAATTTAATTATTTTCATAAATAATAAAACTCATCGAAGAATTTCAATTATTTTTATCACTATTTTAACTTAATAATCGAAAAATTCAGTTATTTTCACAAATAAATATTTCCACAAGAATTCAATTATTTAAACTAATATAATTTTCATAATATTTATTATATTTAAAAAAAATTAATTATTTAAAACAATGTTCATCAAATTCTTATATGAAGAATTCAATAACTTTTAAAAATAATAAAATTCATAGCAGGATTTCAATTATTATTAATCAATTAATAAAAAAATATTTTTTTAAATATTTTTTGGAAGGATTGAATAATTATTTTCAAAAATTTAATAAAATTGTTTGAAAGAAATTAACTGTTTTAAATATAATTTTAATTAAATAATTCAATTATTTTTTAAAATTTTAATAAAATTTTTTCTAAGAATTCAATTATTTACACAAATAATTTTTCGAAAGAATTCAATTATGTCGATAAATAAGAAAATTACTCCCGAAAATTCAATTACTTCGAGGTATTTTAATAAAATTCTATTCAAAATCCAATTATTTTCATAAATAATAATATTTATCACAATAATTCAATTATTTTTAAAAGTAATAAATTTCTCTTTGGAATTCCATTGTTTCAAAAAAAATTCTAATAAATTTTTCGCAAAAATTCAATTATTTTCAAAAAAATTTAATAAAATTTCCCACAAACATTCGATTATTGCCAAAATTTTTGAATAGAATTCTTTATAAAATTTAATTAACTTTAAAAACTTTTCGCAATTCAATAATTTTCAATATCTATTATTTTCATAAAATTTCCAAACAGAATTCAATTATTTAAAAAATGGTTTGTAAACATTTTCTTAAGAATTCAATTCTTTTCGTGAATATTAAAAATGTTCATCAATTCAATTATTTAAATTAGAATTTGCATAAAATTATTTCAAAGAAATGAATTATTTAAAAATTTTCAAAAAATTCTTCGCAAGAATTAAATTATTTTTTATAAATATATATATATTTTTAATTCTTTCATGAATAATAAAATTCGTTGCAGGAATTTGATTTTTTAGCAGGATAAGAAAAAAGTAAATATTTTTGATAAAAATTAGGAAAAAATCTGGAAAATAAAAAATATGGAATGGAATATTTTTGTCAATTTTGTGAAGTGAATAAAACGAGTTTTTTTTTAGTTTTTTTGAGATTAAAAAAAATGACAATAACCCACAAAAGTTTATTTTCAAAACAAACAAATGAATGCAGATAATTTGCTAAAGGAAAGGGAAACTTACGATTATTATAATGTATATATTATATTATTATTATTTTTATTATTATTATTTTTGTTGTTATTATTATTATTAAAATTGATTAATGACTAAATAATGCAAATTATTTGTCTGACTAAAAATATCTTCTACTACTACTACTACTACTACTACTACTACTACTACTACTACTACTACTACTACTACTACTACTACTACTACTACTACTACTACTACTACTACTACTACTACTACTACTACTACTACTACTACTACTACTACTACTACTACTACTACTACTACTACTACTACTACTACTACTACTACTACTACTACTACTACTACTACTACTACTACTACTACTACTACTACTACTACTACTACTACTACTACTACTACTACTACTACTACTACTACTACTACTACTACTACTACTACTCGTTGCCTTTTTCTGCAAAATTTAATTTTCATTTTAAAAACTAAAATAAAATTACAAAAAAAGGAATTATTAAAATGAAACAATAAAAATGATATTTTGTCTGCTTTAGCAAACAATATTCCATTCAGAGCAGGAAATGTACGCGAATAATATGGACGAACATTTTATTTAGAACCGTGATTTTCTATGTATGTGCATTCAACATAAACTGATGTCAACAGCATGTGAATGATACAGTGTTTTGCGTCTCGGTAATTAATTTCTATCCATGTAGAAATCCAAGTAGACACTTATATGAGAATATATACGTATATATATACAGATATCTATATCTATATATGCACGTTTGAAAGTTACATGCGTAGCCGGAAGCTCAAGTGGTGTACTTGTGTAAAATGGGCGCGAGGCTCGTAACTTTGGTTAATTACACTCCATGGCATTTATTTCACATGCGACGAGATCGCTGCTTATGGGAAAACCCCTTATTGTGAGAGTGAGAAAGGAAGAGAGTGAGAGAAAGAGAAAGAGACCCCCTGCAAGCAGATTAAACGCCACGAGACGATGCTGATGGGCTCCTGGGGTATTCAGTAAATTGTAGGAGCCCCGGAAACGACCCTCGTATTTTGAGACACATTTTAGTTGAGAGAGAGAGAGAGAGGGGGGAGGGCGTTTGCTAAATTCTCGAGTATATGGGGAGGTTCATTTTCCACCCGCGGCCCAGAATCTCACACTATCTCTCTGTGCATTTCTCTCCAACCATGGAATTCGAAAGGCATACCAAATGATTTAACTCGCATATTTTATACCTGTGTATATAGTTGCTCGTTTTGAGAAATTCTTTCCTGAATCTAAAATCTGATTTTTTTCCTATTTTTTATTATTATTTTTATTTATTATTATTATTATTATTATTATTATTTCCGTTCTTTATTCGAAATAAAGCATATTTTAATAATTCGGAGAAATAACATCTCTTCGCTTCACGTTCGTATAATGTTTCTTGAAACAATAGAGCAAAATTTATTTAGTAAAAGACAAAGTGAACGGTTATTTCTATCAAATAAATTTTCTCTCAGTGATAGCATTGGTTTATCCAAAGAAATATTTTATTTAAACCACACACTGTAGAAAGAAAGGTACTAATTTAATACCAATTTTGGTACTAAATCGTAATTTGGTTCTATTTTAATACCGAAATCAGCTATAATTTAGAACCTTTTTTTA